CTTGATTTTCTCCTGCCACTATGCTGCAGGACCCTTGAGGGCAAAGTTGTGTCATCCTCGACTTTAAACTCTCAGAATACTGGTCTGCAGCAGTCCCATGAATGAATGAACGAACAAATGATTGGACCACTGAGTAGCATGTGGCTGCTAGGTCCCCATCTGCCCATTCACAGTAGCTACAGACTTAGGACCCATCCTTGGTCCTCTCTCCGCCCCCTGCATGCAGTTCATCAGCATGTCTTGTCTGCCTAATCTGCAGAATACCTCCCAAATCCACTCCCTCGCCTCCATTGCCAGCAATCAAAGTGTTGCCATCTCTTACCTTCTAACTGGCTTCACTGCTTCTATTTTTGTCCTCTCCAATGCAGTTCTCCACACAGTACCCAAAATGATCTTCAAAAACAATGCACAGCTGGGCACAGTGGCTCATACCTATAATCCTAGTACACCAGAGGCTAAGACAGGAGGGCTGCTTGAGGTCAGGAGTTCAAGACCAGCCTGAGCAGGAGTGAGATCCCGTGCCTACCAAAAATAGAAAAAAATATCTAGGTGTTTTGGCCCGCACCTATAGTTTCAGCTACTTGGGAGGATGAGGCAGGAAGAGGAGTTTGAGGTTGCAGTGAGCTATGATGATAGCACAGCATTCTAGCCCCAGGTGACAGAGTGAGACTCTGTCTCAAAAATAAAAAGCAAAACTAAAAAGCCTAGTGCAGATCAGATTATCTCATTCCCCTGCTCAGAATCCTCTACTGTGCTATAGGGTTCCAGCATACTCCAGATAAAACCCCAACTCCCCACTGTGGTCTACAGGGCCCTTCCTGTCTGCACTGCTTCTGGCTGACTAGTTCAGCCGTGACCTTCTGCCTCCGTCTAAAGCTGCTAAGCTCATGTGCATCTCAGGGCCTTTGCACGCACTGTGCCTTCTGGTTATTATGGATGTCTTCTTCCTAAGGTTTCAGCTCATCTGTCCTATCCTCAGAGTGTATTTTCATGACCTCCCTGGCAAATATCGTCTTCCACCTTATTTTATTTCTTTGAGGCATTTATCAGTATCTGAAGTTATCTTCCTTACTACATGCATTTTCTGGGTCCCAAACTAGGATGTGAATTCTGTGGGAGCAGGGACCTATGTGCCTGCTCATTTCATGTCCTCAGTGCCTAGAATGGGGGTTCTCAACTACATTGATGAATTTGAATGGGAAAAAAATTTGTCGTCACTAATTTTTTTTTTTTTGAGACAGAGCCTTAAGCTGTCCCCCTGGGTAGAGGGCCGTGGCATCACAGCTCATAGCAAACTCCAACTCCTGGGCTCAAGCGAGTCTCCTGCCTCCGCCTCCCAAGTAGCTGGGACCACAGGCCCCTGCCACAATGTCCTATTTTTTGGTTGCAGCCGTCATTGTTGTTTGGCGGGTCCGGGCTGGGGATTCGAACCCGCCACCTTAGGTGTACGTGGCTGGTGCCTTAGCCGGTTGAGCTATAGGCACCGAGCCATCGTCACTAATTTTTAACAAAAGTTTAGTATTTCTCTCATGTTAATACAGACAGTGAATCACAGGAACATTAACAGTACCTGGGACTTTGTCACCAATAGGAATCACAGATATTTTCATGTTATATAACAGTTATACAATGCCTCAGTTTAACTGACCAACAGAGACTGGTATCTCAGGGTCCTGAGTTCCTAGGAGAATCTGATCAAGTGGTCTAGCCTGGGAGGCACAGGTCCCCATCTTCAGAGCTCTCCTGTGGGTAAGGAAGTGGTCTCAGGGAGGAGCCTGAGCCAGGCTGACCCCCGATGCCAAGTCTGCTCCTGAATACAGAGCCGAGGCTCAGCCAGGCCTCAGGGACTGAAGCTGGATGGGGGAGGGAGGGTTCTCTGGGCCCTGAGGAGGATATTCCATTCTGCTGGTCCTGTTCTTTCTTAGCATGTGAAATACCACTTGTCTGAGAATTGCTGTCCATAAATTAGGCTGTTTTGTCAGTGGTAAGACATGCAGGAGTCAGATCGCAAACAAGTGCTCTGTCTCTACTTCCAGCTCAGGCCTTCGTAGAAAGTGTAATGGGTTACATGCTGCCTGCCAAACCTTACCTCCAGGTGGGCTGAGTCCCCCGGCGCGCAGGCAGGTCAAACCTCTTGGAAGAGGACACTTGTGCTCCGGCCCTTAGCCTCAGCTGTACTCTTCAGCAGTAGAAGCCTGTGGTTTAACAAAGCAGTATGCGGTTCTTTCTTGAACACTTAAAGCTAATTTTTTTGTTTTGGGAAAAAAGACTAGATGTAAGTGAATAGAGCCTTGCAGGATAAAGTTAATACTGATGGGGGCTATAACCTTGATCAAGAGCTATCCTGAGTCGGGCATGGATGGAGCATTTTAAATACATCTCCCCAGAGGTAGCTTAGGCCTGTAAACCCCAGCACTTTGGGAAGCTGAGCTGGGGGGATCATTTAAGCCCAGGAGTTTGAGACCAAACTGGGCAACATAGATTTCCCATCTCTATGAAAAAAAAAAATTATCTAGGTGTGGTGGTACATGCCTGCAGTCCCAGTTACTCCGGAGGCTTTGGCCCAGGAGTATCAGGCTATGGCAGTGCACCCCTGCACTCCAGCCTGGGCGACAGAGCAATACCCTTTCTCAGAAACATCCCCAGTACAGGCATTCCCTGGATTATGAATGAGATAGGTTCTGTAGGTTTGTTCTTAAGTTGAATTTGTATGTAAGTCGGAGCAGGTACATTTACCTGTAATAGTTTCTGTTCATAAGTGTGAGTTGTATTTAAGTCAAATGTTTGTAACTTGGGGTCTGCCTGTACCGAAATACATTTCCTTGCCTACTTCCCACCTGGACTCTTGCAGGAGGCAGTGTTAAGTGCCTAGGCCCTGGCCTCGTCTGACCAGGGTTTGAACTCCCCTGTCCTGCCACAAACTAGCATTAGGTCACATTACCTTTCTGGCCTGTGTTCCAGGAATCCAAAGCCTCTGGGATCTGGTGGAGGTTAAATGAGCTAAATGCATGCTCAGCCTGGCACCTCATGCAGCATCTGCACTCACTGTTAGTGCTGATTCTGGTGCGTGGAGGGCAGGTACCTGAACGTGCCTCCAAACCATGCCGCTGCTGGGGAAATGAGTAGTGTTGGCGGCATCCCTCAGATGGGAAGAGAGAGGGCCTGGTAACTGTTCTGAGGACTGCGCAACTTAGAATGTGCTGTTATCAGACAAGTAGGGAGAGTGAGGCCTCTGGTTTGGGCCAGGCTGAGCAGACTGGGCTCCACCTCTGGGCTCCCAGACATGCCCAGGGAGGAGCATAGTCCACTTCAGACGTAAGCTGGGCAGGTTGGAACCCCTTACAGAGGAGCAAACTGGCTGTCTCTCTCTCCCAGTCTCCCATGGTGACTCCGTCAGGCCTGGATTGAGTCACTTTAATCACTGATCTGGACGGGATCGATCCAATCCCGTTGGTTTGCTCTGGCTTAGAACAGATTGGCTGAGTTGGTCCTGGGCCTCTTGGCTGTTTTACTCGGTTGGTCTGGTTTGAGATGGCCCAGGCCTAGCCTTGTGCTGCCTTTGAACCCTTGCACTGGATTTACTTTTAGTGTCAGTTTTTGGATTCCCCATTTCGAAGTCTTTGGATTTCTCACTGGGGTTTCTGCTGGTAGGTCCTATCCACTCAGTCCCAGGAGGCCATTCCTTTCCTCTAGGGCTCATCTTCTCTCACCCTGCTCTGGAAATCCTTCACGTGCCCTTCTCTGGAATAATACAATATGTTTTGAGTATATTAATTTTTATTTGACTATTTCAAAGGAAATATGGGAGAAAAGAGAGCCCCATAGTGAATCAGAGCTGAGCAGGCTTTTACTGTGGTATAATTCATATACCATGAAATCCACCTGTTCTACCTGACAATCTTGTGATTTCTAGGGAATTTTTGGAACTGTATAACTGCCCCTGTGACCCTGCTTTAGAACATTTTCATCACTGTAGAAGCTCCTTTGTATCTATAAGCAGGTAGTGCATCGCTGATGTGTGTGTTGATCTCTATACATTTGACTTTTCTGGGTATTTCCTACAAATGGAGTCATACAGTACATCCTTTTGCATCTGGTGTCTTTGCCATCTCCTTCTCTTGCCCTGCGCACTTCCCTCCTCTCTGGTCACTTCCAGCTAAAAGGCTACTGGTGACCTCTGCTCTGCATGTTCAGTGACGTGCTGAGTGCTCTCCTGGAGGGGCTGTGCATTGCTGAGGGAGCAGCTGCTTCTGCTCTGTGTGGTCCAGGCCTGGAAACCAGAAGTGCCATGTGAGCGAGGTCTTGAACCATGATGGGGTGGTGGGACAGCATGAGCAAGGCACCAGAGCATCAGGTACTTTCCGCTCAGTGCCTCAGTTTCCCCAGGGGTAATAGGGTGTAATAGGACCTACCCAACACTCAGGATTCAGTGTTGGGAGGGTTCAGTGAGTTACTGTTATGTCAAGCCGCACGTGGTGAGTACCCTGTGGGATTAGCTGTTATCCAAGTTATTATTGATGAGACTCGGTGGTGCTCTGGGGAGCATTGTAGAATCAGTCTGGCCTCCTCATCTCACGTTGTTTTAAGACAAAGATCACAGACTCTAGTGCCCACAAGGGCCAGGCATATACTGAAATAGCTGCACAGGCCACTTGGGGACTGAAAGGCACTTGGCAAAGGGCAGGCCCCACTTAGCCCAGCTGATGGTTGTCATGCAGGAATATGGGCCTAGTATTGCCAGAAAAGTCAGAAATACAGAATTCTATGTGAAATCTTCCTATTGATTAATTTAAAAAGTATTAATACTCTGTAGAAGCCCAGTAACCTGTATTTGTGAGCCTTATTTAGCTAGAAGGTTTATGAAAGCTTATGACTTTTCTTTAAAGGTGTCCTCTGGGGAGACAGTTATGCCAGTATGCTCCAGTCTGGCATAATTGTCTCCTGGGAGTAGGGATAAGTTGGGTATTAAAGACATTCTTATGAGCCCCTTTGCTTTGCAGGAATTCTCCAGACAGGTTATGTCACCGGCAGAGGCTGCCCTGAAGCTCCCTGCAGCCTGGAGACTATGTATAAGAAGAATGGTCTGATGGCTAGCATGTTGGTCACCTCCGCCACCCCACAGGTACGAGGGCTGTGAGGATGAAGACACCAGGTGGGAGGGGTGCCTTTCAGCTGACCCAAGCCCTAGCTGAGGCAGGGACAGCAGGGCCGCAGAGTTCCATGAATGCCACCATTCTTAGCACTCTCAAAGCCCCTGGCCCCGCCAGGCGTGAGATTTGGGAGGCAGTCAGCTCTCAGGATCAGTATGTTTTCTGAAGTCGTTCTCTTCAAAGAAAAACAAATACCTGCCCCGTCCAGTTGTAGCAAGTGCCACATTCCATTTTGGTGGCAGAAGGGATCAGACCTTTCCCAGGAAAAGCCGCTGCTGATTATAAATAAGTCACACATTCTGGAATGAAGTCAGACAGAAGTCATTCCAGCTGGCCCTAGGTTCTTATTTACTTTGCTCAGTAGGAAATGGCTGTAAGGACTGGTGGTCTGGAGGGGCCAGGGCCTCTGCTATGGGATTTGGGGGTTTGCTTTCCCAACTCAGCAATGGAGTAGGTGGGCAGGAGGAGGCCCAGGATGCCACCGTGGTGTATGTATAGTGCCTGCTCCTCCAATAAGGTGATGGGGCAGGGTCGAGGTTCCACCTCACGAGTTCCTCATCATCTAGCTGGGCTTTTGAAGTGACCTTGGGTAACCAGCCAGAAAGTCATAGGAACCACTCCTTTTTTTAATAAACCTTCTGAAAAATTCCTTGTTTTGATTTCTGGTCCTGAAATCAGACTTTGGACACCTCTTGATATTCCCCAGTGGTGCCAGTGCAGGGTTAAGGAGACTTGTTGCAACTGGAGCAGCATTATCATTACCATAGTTGTCAACACCAGCCACTGTATTTGGGCAACTTTTGATTAAACAAGTCCCCTTGTACGAATATGTGAATAATGTGGTGGTACAGGAAAGTTATACCTGAAATCCCAGGAATGGACTCTGGTATCTAGAGGAATCAGACTTCTGTTTCCATCTATAATTTACATTCTTTCCAGAGTAACACCTCTTATCTCGTCTGTGTGTATGTACAAAGTCTGACAATTAAGTTCACAAACTCATCTTAGAAAAATTGCTACATACCTCATTGCTGAATAATCACTATGGTTACTTTTGAAGTAACTCCCATGGGCAGCTCTGCACTGATGCCAGCACCTAGTCCATCCCTCAATGCACTTTGGGAGCTCTTTTTCTGGAATGGCCATCAGAGCTGTCATTGCATTACCCTTGATGTCCCAAAAGGGTACATCAGATGTCTCCCTTTCAATATTTTCTTTATCTTTGGGCAAAGAAAAAAGTCACTGGGGGCCAGATCAGGTGAATAGGTAGGCTGTTCCAATACAACTATTTGTTACTGGCTAAAAACTCCCTCACTAAGAGTGCCATGTGACCTCGTGCATTGCCATGATGCAGGGTGCTGTGAGTTGTTGGTGAAAAGTTTAGGTTGTTTTCATCTAATTTTTCATGCAGCCTTTTCAGCACTTCGAAATGGTAAACTTAGTTCACTATTTGTCCAGTTGGCAGAATTCATAATGAACAATCCCTCTGATACCAGAAAATGTTATCAACGTTGTTTTGACTCTTGATTTGGACTGATGGAACATTTTTGGTCATGGAAAATTGGCTGACTTCTGTTGTGCACTTTGATGCTTTGTTTCCGGATTGTATTGGCACACCTGTGTTTCATCACCAATGATAATATGAACCAAAACATCGTCTGGCCTCTTCAAAAGGTGTTGGCAAACTTATACCCTCCTTTGCTTTTGTTCATTGGTGAGTTCCTTTGGAACTTTGGAACTTTTTTTGTATACAACTTACACCAAGATTTTTAGTTAAGATTTTCCTGTTTCCCTATCAATGTTTATTTGGTCTACTATGCTTCTCACAGTCAGCCAGTGATTTTGATGATAATTTGATGAATTTTTTGCAATGTTTTCATCAGTTCTGCTTGTTACTGCCACCTTGACCTCTCTTTATCAGTGATGCTTTCTCTGCCTTCAGAAAAACATTTAATCCATTTTGTACCCTGTCATTTTCTTCATGGCATTATCCCCATAAACTTGAACTAGCATGTCCCTAATTTCACTTCTTCTCTTGCTAAGTTTAATAAGAAATTTAATGTTTGCTCATTGCTCTAAATCAAGCTCAGACATTCCTGCAATGGCACATGCAACAATAGTGAACACCACTCAGTAAGACACCACCACACAGTGGCATGAACACAGCTGTGAGACATTGATATATTAAGGTTATGGACCTATACTGAGTTGTTTGTACAGTGTTGCAATGTAAATGCACATTGGCAAGTTTGAGAACTTAATTGTCAGACCTCATATACATATGTATACATGTAAGTGTGTGTGTGTGTATGTATGTTTATGTATACATGTGCATTCACATACATACCATGTACATGTACCTATATGTGTATCCAGCACATGGTAAGTAAATGCTCAATAAATATTGGTTGAATGAATCAGTGAATGAATACATGTATAATTGAATGTTCAATAAATTTTGGTGACCGGATGACACATTTGTGCCCATATATACCCATAATTTGGTACTCACTATATACCATGCACTTTTTTGCACGATCCATTGGCATTCTTCCGTTTAATCCTCACAGTACCCCATCAGGTATATGTTAGGTTCATCCCCCAGTTTACAGATGATGGAGAGAGGCGAAGCTGTAGAGAGGTGAACAAACTGGCTTCAAATCACACAGCTTCCAAGTGGATGGGGATGCAAGTCAGGCCTGGCTGACTCTCAAGCTGATACTTCTAACCATGACGCTGTGTGGTTCTAATGAAAACCAGTGCTGTCACCCTGATTCACTTTGCTTCCTGGAAGGTATGTGTAGAGGTGCAGAATGATTTATAGATGACTGCTCAGGATTTATGTATCAGACCGGGAGATAGATTAGACTGCTGACTCCAGAAGCATTCAGGAGTAGGCTTAATGTCTTTTCAGAAGTTCATCCTAGCACAGATTGTCCTCAGGGCAGAATACCCTGTCACCTGTGGAACTTGTAAAATGGCCATGCCTGAGCTTACCCCAGTCCCTCTGAACTAGTACCTCCTGTGGGGGCCAGGTAGTATTGTGCCAGTTGGTTTCTAAGCTTCATTTTATATAACCTGTCCTGCAACCCAGGGAAGTAGGTTTTAATATTACCATTTCTGGATGATAACTTAGACTTAGTAAAATGAAGTGACTTGTCTGAGGTCAGACAGCAGTTGGTATGGAGCTGGCATTTTAACCAGGCCTGTCTGACTTCAGAGCTCTTGCCCACTAGGACCTGCTGCTTCTTAAGATCATCTCAGAGTTTTGGGATAGTAGACTCATTTGTAAAACCTTGTAATGACACAGGCCTATTGAAATCTACAGGTTTACGTTCCTGCTTCTCTTTTTAACCACACTTTTTCATTTGTTGACTATTGGTTTCACTCACTGGCCTAAAAACATTCTAGTTTCCAGTAAGATTGCAAAGTTTTTCCAGATATAGCCATTTTGGAAAGAGTGAAATAAGAAGAATTAATAAAAGCATATTCTCTAAATCCCAGTCCAAGATGTTGAGGTTAATGGAAACCACAAAATCCTTCTTCGTGTGTTGAAACGAATAAAGCCATTTTATGAACAGGGCACAATTTTTGGGTGGTAAGCTTGATTGATTCCCAAAAGTAGTGTTTGATGAAATTAAATACAATTAAAGAGAAGGCATGGTCAACATTCTAGGATCCCTGTTGTCTCGGATTTTGTGAAATCAGACACATTTGGGGAGTTTTAACTTTCTTTTTTATGGGAGACCCTTTTTTTTATAGGCAGGATGCAGAGTGTTCTTCTTAACACAAGGGACTCTACTAAAATAACTTTCACACCAGTCTCCAAAGCCAGTTGGTTACCTCTCAGCTCATCAGTTAGCAGGTTCTGAATTCCAAGTGGCCCATACAAGAAATGAGCCTCAAGAGCCATTTTTGCATTTTATGTAACAATTTCCTGCAGTGACTTCAAGTAGAAAAAAAAGGTGAAACCAGGTAATGTTTTGAGAGACATATGAAACAGATTATTTCCTTAGGCCTCCTAAGATATGAAGGCCTGTTTTTTCTGAAGGAAGTTTGGGCTATAATTTTTAACTCACTGCTAAACTGCTAGCCAGAAGTAGTTAGGGTATAGCAATTGCAGGTGTGTGTTTTGGGATCAGATAGATACAAAACAAAGTCCATATTTTGGCTTTCAGCTTTGTAGCTAAGATACCTTAGAGAAGTGCCATTGTTTCTACTTCCTTATCTATAAAACGGGAATAATATTGTATACTGATAGTGGCATTCATGAGAATTAAATAGGATCATGCATATGAAGTGCTTCCCACAGTGCCTGGAATAGAATGCTCAGCGAGTTGATTTCTTCATTGTACAGTTCTGTTGCTCTCCTGTCCTCAGTTCCAAGGAGGTTTGGGAGCAGTGATCCCAAGCCACCTACTCAGTGGGCACCATCTCTCTCCACCATCCACAGGGCAGCAGCAGCTCGGACTCTCTGGAGGGCCAGAGCTGCGACTATGCCAGTAAGAGCTACGATGCTGTTGTCTTCGACGTCTTGAAAGTGACCCCAGAGGAGTTTGCCGTAAGTGACACAGAGCCAATGTGGGTGACTAGGCACCATGCTTGGTGAGGGTGTGGGGTAATGCTCAAGGCCTTTTTCTGAGCTTGGAAACACTTTTATATCCCCAATAAGAGGGGAGTGTTGAGTAAAGTATGGTACATCCTTTCTAAAATACAATGCGGCATTAAAAGGGATGCTGTCAATCTAGAAATTAACCACCTTGAAAGGCATACCCAGTATGTATATATTAATAGTAAGTGAAAGAAGCAGGCTAGAGCATAATTTACAGAGAATATACCATTTTCAAAATGCATTCACAACACATACATATATTTGCACAATGTTTAGATCTGATGTCTACATATTCATAACTATCTTGATCTATATGGGCAAACATATTTACCATAGTTTCTAGTTGTAGATTCCAGGTAACTGGTATTTAATTTTTCTTCTTTTTATTTATATTTCCCACATTATTGCAATGATCATTTTCTATAATGATGGACAATATTATTTGGGTAACTTTTAAAATAATAATTTTAAGAGAGGTGGAGCAAGATGGTGGACCAGAAGGATTATTCAGCTGAGCCTTCTAGAAAGACTGGGGAAAAAGAGAGAACCCAGTTATACCTGACATGGGGACCTTATCCAACATCATAGCTCAGGGAGCACAGTGAGGAGGTGGTGAGCTGAATAGCTTATGATCTGGAGCAGTGGAAATGTGATGAATTAGGCAAGTAATTGCCACCCACTGGGATCAGCTGGCCCCTCACCACGGTCCAGGACAGGAGGAAGCCTTTCTGGAGTTTTCAGTTGTTGGGGAAGCTGTGTGTTGAGTAGAAAACTTGGAAGAGTGGGTGGACTTGAAGAGTATACAGCAACCGGGTAGCACCTGTGGCTCAAAGGAGTAGGGCACCAGCCCTATATATCGGAGGTGGTGGGTTCAAACCCTGCCCCGGCCAAAAACTACAAAAAAAAAAAAAAGAGTATACAGCAACCAGGTTTGAATGTCAGTTGGAGTGGATTTGCCATAGGTTTGGTGGCTGGCAAGGCAGCCATACTGAGAAGGTCTCAGCATCCAGGGGGCTGCCATTGTAGGAAGGTCGTGAGAAGGTCTTAGCAAGGGCTTAAAGCATGGCCACATTAATTCTGCCTGCCGGGATCAGAAGTCCACTCTTGGGACAGGCTGAAGGACTCCTATACCCCATGGGAACTGGAGTCTGGGGGCACTGTGAGACCTGCCCCTGAAGGATTCTTGTCAGCTTTAAGATTGCAACCCAGGCTCGGCGCCTGTGGCTCAAGTGGCTAAGGCACCAGCCACGTACACCTAAGGTGGCAGGTTCGAATCCATCCTGGGCCCGCCAAACAACAATGATGGCTGCAACCAAAAAATAGCCAGGTGTTATGGTGGGCACCTGTGGTCCCAGCTACTTGGGAGGGTGAGGCAGGAGACTCGCTTGAGCCCAGGAGTTGGAGGTTGCTGTGAGCTTTGATGCCATGGCACTCTACCCAGGGGGACAGCTTGAGGCTCCTGTCT